AATATATCAATGTCTTAAGGGCCTTCTGAAAGGCTGGAAGAGTCAAAGCCATTCTCATCTCGGGGAATACTTTTCTGTAGGGCAGGGGCAGTAATCAAAAAGGCCTATTTTGTGGGTCCCTGAAGATGACATTCTTTAATTAACTGGACCCACAACATACTTTCTCCTGCCAGATCTCATGGGAAAGGTAAAAACAATCAGGGAAAAGCACTCCCACAAATAACCTGGTCTTATGCCAAGAACTAGTAGGTTATCCACTGATGGAATGTTAGTTGATAATCTCCAGAATCCTTCATTGGAATGGCTTTGTTACATGGGTAACATTTGTTCTGTCTAGCAAGCATTATTTGTTCATTATACATATTTATATGCCATCTACTCCCAAATGACTTCACGTAAAATGTTTAAATTGATCAGTGTTCAGTTTGAAGATTGGTTGATTTTAGTTTTTTAAAAACATATTCATATTTTTCTGTTTTATCACCTTCAGGCCCTGTATTTGGCAGTAAAGACAAATTCCATGGATTGGCCATTTTCCTGGATACCTATCCCAATGAGGAAACTACTGAGGTAAATGATAATAGCTTCTGTTTGAAAGCTAACAGAAGGCTTTTCCTGCAGGAACAATCCCATATAAGTAGAGATTCTGCATGCATATGGATTTCAAAATATTTAGAGTAAGAGTTTTGAGCATCATGGAGACAAGTTTGATTCAAATTTATTTTATTCTACAGCGTGTGTTTCCTTATGTTTCTGGTATGGTTAACAATGGATCCCTGACCTATGACCATAGTAAAGATGGTCGCTCGACGGAGTTGGCAGGCTGCACAGCTGATATTCGTAATCAGAACCACGACACCTTTTTGGCTGTCCGATATTCTCGGGGGCGTCTGACGGTAAGCCTGATGATGGGTGCTGGGGGCAAGATGCACAAATGAATTACATGACATTCTACCACATTACACAAATAACAGATGAATGTCCATGAAGGTTCCATACTAACTTAGAATGAATAAGTTGCATCATGCTTTCTACAGCTCTAGTCAATGAAATATAAACATGAATATAATAATCCTAATGATGTATAATAATCCTAATGATGTATAATAATCCTAATGAGTTTACCATTTTATATATTTCAGAATTGATGTTCTACATTTCCATAGGATTTTTCAACTGTCTGAAAAGTGTGAAAACTAAGTTGTCCTTAATGTGGAAGATTACTTTTATGTTGCAGGTGATGACTGATGTGGAGGATAAAAATGAATGGAAAAACTGCTTTGATGTTGCAGGAGTTCGGTTACCCACTGGTTATTTCTTTGGGGCTTCTGCTGGTACAGGAGATCTATCTGGTGAGAAATACTTGCTAGTAGTTAAAGTGGCTGTGTTATTTGCATGTGTTATTTCACATAGAGACAGTGTTTGGTAAAGTGCCCAAGATACAGGTACTCCATGACTTACAACCACAATTGAGACCAGAATTTCTGGGGGTAAGCAAGTGGATTGTAAAATAGTTGCACCCGATTTTATGACATTTTTTGCCATGGTTGTTAAACTAATCACTGCAGATGTTAAGCAAATCATCCAGTTGTTAAGAGAGTCCAGCTTTCCCCACTGATTTTGCTTGTCGAAAACTGCCCAGGAAGGTCGTAAATGGTGATCACATGATCCTGGGACACTGTAACCATCGTAAACATATACCAGTGGCCAAGTATCTGAATTTTGATTACATGACCCCAGGGATACTGCAGTGGCTGTAAATTGTAAATCAATTTTTTCAGTGCTGTTGTAAGTGTGAATAGTTGCTGAACAATTGGTTGTAAGTCAAGGACTAACACCTGAATTATCACCTGAATTAGTATTAACTACTTGTCAGTTGCCTGTATTGCTGAAAACTTGTGAGAATTTTTTTAAATAAGAAACCTTTACTTAGAGTAAGATCTTCTGTCATTGAATTTTAATTTTAATCAGCTGGTTTCTTTTCCAGATAATCATGATATCGTTTCGATGAAGCTATTTCAGTTGATGGTGGAACATTCCCCAGAAGACGAAAACATTGACTGGACAAAGATTGAGCCCAGCGTCAGTCTTTTCAAATCACCCAAAGGTAATTTATTAATGCTTCTAACCTGAATGTTCAATCAAACAAATGGGAGATCAGTTTCCCATAGGAACAAGCATCACTTTTCATAAAAGTACTTCACTTTTAAAACTATAGAGTGACTAATGAAGGAAATCTTTTTGATTTAAGCACCAGGTGATCAAGTAAAGATAACCTAGTTATATGTTTATTGGATTTATAGTGATACCCAACGTAAAGAGTGAGTTTAGGTGGCATACAACAGAAACGTCTGTCAGATGTCTTCACTTGCCATATTTGTTTTCTTATTTTGAATTTTTGAAAACTCTTCATAAATAGTAAATATGCATTCAGATTTGCAAGAAGATATTGTGTTTAAATTTTACCATGTAGATATTGGTACAACATAATCAGTTTCTGTTTATTTAGATTTATTTAAATATATAATTTGACCAAGAATGGCTATAGTCTGCAATTGCATGTACTGTATTGGAGCAGTTAGCTCACCATGGGGGTCTCAGCTGGACCAGGATCTTAAGAGAGCAAAGTTAAAAATTCTGTTTCAGGTTATTTCTCCTCATTACCCGTCTAATGATTATTAAGTGTTCCGCAAAGAAACTTGAAGAGGACAGATATTCAGTATAATCTGCATAATCCAGAATTATGCTAATCTATATTAAGCTATCCTTTATGTAGTAGAAGGATGTAATATGTAGTATAACTCAATTTTCTGTTTCTTTTTCTCTTCAGATAATGTAGATGATCCAACAGGAAACTTCCGTAGTGGGCCCTTGACAGGCTGGAAAGTGTTCTTACTGTTATTATGTTCTCTACTTGGCATCATTGTATGTGCTGTGGTGGGGGCTGTGGTTTTCCAGAAACGCCAGGAGCGGAACAAGCGATTTTACTAACGTGCAGGAGGCCGAAATTTGGGGCAGCTGGGGAAGTTTTTTTACAGGTGGGAGGGAGAATTGTATAGACTCTGGTTTCTAAAAGGCTCTTTCAGAGAAATGTATGGAATATTTTCATATCCCCTTTTTTTCTTGGCAACAATAGGTAATTGTGTCAAAACAATCCGGAATATAGGTTGTACTGTACTTGGGAGCCTGCCATTTTGAAAGTTGTTTAGAACCTTCAATCCTTCTATAAAAACTTTTTATGGAAAACAGGCAAATAACAGTATGGTTCAAACTTTAAAAATGTTGCTTCTTCTCTGGGAGGCATGCTTTGCACTTCAGATAGTATTTCCAGATAGTTACTCTTAAGAGTATTTTGGTAGTGCAGCTATGTGGAGGGTGGTTTTCTTGCTGTGGCCTATAAACTTAATTCAAGAAAACTATTTTTTGAACTGAATGTATTTCATAGTTTCACTTATTCTTTTTTAATACCAGCTATTTTTGTTTTGCTGGGAGTGAAACTGACTTGCACCAAAACAACTGGCATCCATGAAATGTGATATCTGTGACTGCGTTAGCTTGGGAGAACGGGGCCTTGATTTTCCTAGACAATATGAACTATGTGTCCCATTTATTAAACATCTAAACTAGTTGATTCCAATGGCAGAATTTGAAGTGTATCATAGCCACATTGTTATGTGTGCATATGGAAGATCATAAATTGAAGAATGACAATGTGAAATAAAATGGAAAATTTATCCTGGTGGTTTGTCTTAATTTTATGGTTAATGGTGGATGGGCTGCATTTTGGTATTACTAAATTGGGAGGGGGGAGCGAAACCTGATTCCATGCTGGGAAATTTCAGGGATCAAAATGTGTTAATAATGCAGTAATTCAGAGGTTTTTTTTTAAAAAAAATATTTTTCACATGAACATATTTTCAGAGTTTGCAATAGGGCTGTTAATATCATTAGTCCCGCCTTAAGCAAAATCAACTGGGTGAGTTGGGGCCGGCCACTCTCTGTACCCTAGGAAAAAGGCAATGGCAAACCGCATACCGTAGGAAACCCTTGGCAAAACTATATAGGGCAGTGGTGGCGAATCTATGGCACGGGTGCCAGAGGTGGCACTCAGAGCCCTCTCTGTGGGCACGCGCGCCATCACCCCAGTCCTAGGCCTTCAGCTGGGTTTTATAAAACCTTTTCGCTTTAGGCCGCCGCCGTGTGCAAAAAAAAAAGGTTCAATCAATTTCAACTTCTCGCGGGAAAAAAAAAGATCTTGCAAAGTTGGAATTGATTGAACTTTTTAGTCCCACCCAGTCTGCCGTTACCACCACAGCCACGCTCACCCAATGGGCCACACCCACCCGGCACCCGATGATGCATAAGTGGGTTTTGGGTTGCAGTTTGGGCACTCGGTCTCTAAAAGGTTTGCCATCACTGATATAGGGACTAGTTCAGACAGTACCAGGAGTCAAAACTGACTCAACTTCATAAAATAAACAGGCACATATTTTAATCAGAATTTGAATTTTGAAATGCAACAGATTTATCTTTCGTCTTCACAATACGCAAAACAAATCGCACTTCGTAGCTGGTACAAGTCAGTAGAATGCAATTCTGGAACGTTAAGACAGTCCTGGGCTCTTTTATTTACAGGTCGAGCACAGGGGAGAGAAGCGAGACCGCAGGTCTGCGAACCTGAATATTTCGAGTACTTTGCTACTTCCTAGCTTTCAACACACTACCAACGACTAAACCAGGGGTAGGCAACCTTGGCTCTTTTATGACTCGTGGACTTCAACTCCCAGAATTCCTGAGCCAGCTATGCTGGCTCAGGAATTCTGGGAGTTGAAGTCCACGAGTCATAAAAGAGCCAAGGTTGCCTACCCCTGGACTAAACATAGCGGCGCTTCCGCTGACTAGGCGAGAGACAGCTCTCCAATCCGCGCTCAAGGCTTTCCCCACTTCCTTTCCGACTGGGAGTTGTAGTCTTTCGGCCCTGGGCGACGCGGTGCCTGCCCTCTGCTGAGCAGCGATTACGTGGCGCGAGAGCGGAGGCAGGACGCAAGCGCGGCATCATGGCGGCTCCCGGCGGTTGGTCAAGTGTGCTCTGGTGGCTGCTGCTGGCGGCGGGGATCGCACCGCGCGCGTGGGGCCTCTACTTCCACTTGGGCGAAACGGAGCGCAAATGTTTCATCGAGGAGATTCCGGACGAGACCATGGTCATCGGTGCGCGGGGGAGGAAAGGGGGAGCTGATTGTATCGGGGAAGGAGTTCGGAAAGGAGTGGTGGGGTCGCGCGAGGGGCGACAGAAGAGGAGGACTGACGTGCCGTGGCGGGAGTGGGGATGCCGTGGGAATGCGTGTGGGTAGGACGTGGCGGTGGGCTTTGGCAATGAACGGACGAGCTGCTCCGAGGCCAACTTCCCCCTCTACCACGCAGGGAATTACCGGACGCAGTTGTATGATAAGCAGCGAGAAGAGTACCTTCCCGCTACTCCCGGCCTGGGCATGTTTGTGGAAGTGAAGGACCCCGATGAAAAGGTACATTCAGCACATGATCATCTGTGAGGTTCTCAGGTACATTCCTCACTCTGGGGCTCTGTCACAGGGCGGAACATGGGGAGAAACCCAAGACTCAACGCCAGAGGCTCACAAATCAGAACCAAAGTAATGGATTGCACATGTAAAGTCTGGGAAATATGTGCACATGTAAAGTCCTTACATGTGCACATGTAAAGGTGCACATGTAAAGTCTGGGAAATATGTGACTGTACCATATGTAAAACCAACAGATGCTGTCACGTCCAGATCCGTTGTCACATCTATACTTTTCCATTGCTATTATTAGGCAGTTTACTGTTCTGTATCTTTGGAAAGTTAAATATGATTAGAAAGGTGGCCAGATTTGTTCGCGTTAAAAAGACATTCCTTTCAGAGTGGTTAAGAAAATATCAATTGCCATTTTCTTCTTGGAAAATAGTACAAAGTAATCTGGAATGAAAAATAAAAGAATGGCATTTGTGGTCCTTTATTCCCCTTTAAATTTCATTTTTGATTAGAGCAGGGGTGTCAAACTGCTGGGCCGACCCCATTGCTGTTTGCCCCTTACTCTCATCAGATTACTACAGTTGACTATTTCTAAATACCATTCTTTAAATAATGGATTTCATCCCATACTGAATATTATATGTTTCATAATTTAATAAGTGAACTACAGTCTCTATGTTAAGAATGAGTGCTGTTCCCTAACTCTGTGCTTAACCTGAATTTGTATCTAAGTTGGAACTCATATTTACAAATGGACTGCCTGTCACTAAAACTGGCAGACTGCATTGTCCTTTCTTGAGCCAATGAAGCATTGAAGCCACCCAATGCTTTCAGGGACGGTTGAAAACAGGCGTATATTAAAAACACAAAGGCTGTATCTTTATATCTAGGGATTATCCTTAAGTCAGATGTTCTTAATTCAGGGACTGCCTGTATATTATGAAATCCTGAGTATTGAACCATGCTGTAAAAACTTTGATTGCACTTAGAACATTTAATATCTACTGCCTGGTGAAAAGGTTTGCAAGAAAATGCTCAGTCTTATTCAGATCGAAAACCTGTATACATATCTTTTTGGTCTGACTTTTCTCATGTGCATTCTCATATATCTGTTCCATTTACAGGTGGTGTTGTCCCGGCAATATGGCTCAGAGGGCAGATTCATCTTTACTTCACACACTCCAGGAGAGCATCAGATCTGCCTGCACTCTAATTCCACAAAGTTTTCCCTTTTTGCAGGAGGCATGCTGGTAAGATATTTGTTAAACTAAGAGAAGATGTTTTCCCCGCATGCTTGCTATTAAGGCATCTTGCTGTCATTGGTATCTGCACTTCAGAAGGTTTATTATTTTATTTTTTTTGCAGAGGGTCCATCTTGACATCCAGGTTGGGGAACATGCCAATGATTATGCTGAAATTGCAGCTAAGGACAAGCTGAGTGAGCTGCAGTTGCGTGTTCGCCAGCTTCTGGAGCAGATAGAACAGATCCAGAAAGAACAAAACTACCAAAGGGTAAGAAAGGCAGGATTATAACTCTGTGCCAGTACAACCTGCCAGATGTGCAACTGGCACATGGACTTTTATCCGTTTAAAGAACTAAGCAACAGATAGCAAGGAAATCTTTTCCTGAGATAGAGGACATAAAAATATCTAACTATTGGATGAGGTCAGGACCCATATTAGTCTAGCACAGTGGTTCTCAACCTGTGGGTCGGGACCCCATTTGGGGTCGATCGACCATTTCATGGGGGTCGCCAAGCAAGGCTGTCCGCCATTTTTTTTGTCCGCCATTTTTTTCCCCCTTTTCCGGCAGGTGCCTTACCTCCCTTGGGCTGGGCCAGCTGGTGGTCGGCCTGCTCCGTCTCTGCCACTTGCCAGCTACACCTTGGCCAGCACAGGGGGCGGAACCACGCATGCGCGGCGCTCCCGGGCAAGGAAAGTCCTCGACTTACGACCGGTTGGGTAGTCCTCGACTTACGACCGGTTTAGTCCTCGACTTACAACCAGTTTAGTCCTCGACTTACGACCGGTTGGGGTCGCGGCATTAAAAAGGTTGAGAACCACTGGTCTAGCATTTCAGTTCTTGTTCAAGCCCTCATTCATCAAGCAGGAGGTGTTGATCTTTTTATAGTTGTTGTTCTTCTGCAAGACGTATGATCCCACAATTTATTTTATATTTCAGTTTGAGTTATTTGTAACAAACCCAGAAAAAAGATCTCTGTAAATGTAAAGTTAGAAGAGATTGCCCAGATGTTTAGTGTTTTACACTTATTTAAATTTTTATTGTGTTGACCAATCATCAGTCTGGGCTCTTCACAAATCACTTTTGAATTTCACCACCACCATCACCCTTAGTAATTTGACATAATCTGCAAACCTGGCCAACTCTCTGCTTACCTTAAATCATCTTTATCATGAACAGGTTAAAAGGCAACACAGATCTTTGTGGACCTTGCAACTCTTATTGCTATTCATTGAGAAAATTATCCACTTATCCTGACTCTTTGGTTTTGTTCTTTAATCAGTGAGGAATTCTCAAAAAGACAAGTTCTCTCATTTCATGACCACTGAGTTTACTCAGGAATCTTTGATGAGGAACTTTTGCAAGGCTTCTTAAAAAGTTAAAATTTTGACTAGAGAAGTTCTTCTAGTTAGGAGAGTAGACTAGATGGATAAATGCCATGGCTTGGCATAAAGGAGCTTGTCAGTTCCTCAGAAGCCCTGTAGAAGTCTCAGTAACTTCTCTCATACATCCGGAGTGGGAAGTTGCCGTTGTACACATGCACATAAATCATGAAGTTCTGAACTTGGGGAAGAGGCCTAACTCTTTGGAGGAAGTACTATAAGGGAATTGGTCAACCCTCATACCTTACTGTCATGAGGGTATTGGTGAAGGTATGCACAGCTTTCTGTATTTTGCTGTTTCCCCCACAGAATGTCCATGAAATATATCCCATTGTATTTTAATGTAGTTTCATTAATATTTTACCTCTTTTCTCAGTGGCGAGAGGAGCGTTTCCGGCAAACCAGTGAAAGCACAAACCAGCGGGTTCTCTGGTGGTCCATAGTCCAGACTCTCATTCTTGTAGTCATTGGAGTTTGGCAAATGAGGCACCTAAAGAGTTTCTTTGAAGCCAAGAAGCTGGTATAAAAAAAGAGAGTAATATCAGCCCAAAGCGTGCATTTCTCCCAGGAGCAGTTCCTGGCACTTCAGGTGTCTGCGTCGATCTTCTCTTCTCTCATTGGCCCTTTCCACCAGACTGGTTACTTGCCAGGATCTGTGCCATCTACCTCCCACTGTGTCAGCTCTTCTTCCTCCTTCAACATGTCAGCCTGTGGTGATTTTGGTGCAGTGTTTTGGCCCCAGGAAGATGCTGCCTTCTTTCCAGATAGTCAAGACCAGCCCCCTCCTCTCTAGCTCTATATTATGAGGATTGTGTTTTGTTTTTATATTTGCAGAGAGGGGAGGGAGGCACCACGTCTTCAACTTTTCTCCTGGCTAAATATGTTCTTCAAAATTAGACTCTCTTCTGAAAGGTGATTGGAACTTTGTGTAGCCAGTATCACAGTATATCAAGAGCCAAGAAAACCTGCTGTGTTTAACTGTGTTGTGTATATGTACTAGCACTGATTTCTAAATACCACCAGTGCATCACTCAGGAGAATGTTTTGAATGAGAAGATCTGGAGGTTCTCCTTCCAATTCTCCTTTTCTATATATTCATCATAAAATAGGATGCAGTTTGATTTGGGGATTTGCTGCAATGGAATTAATAGGATTCTTTCTGAAAGAAATCTGTGTTACAGGATTAATGTGCTGATCACTGGGCTATTAATAAAGGATGATTTAAGTATTGGAATTTACTTATGCTCTCCTCCTCTAGCTTGTTAAAATTAATTTTTCCTGTATATACCTACTCAGCATTTTCTGACACATACAGTACTTCAGTTTCTTATTACCTTGAATGTATAAACAGTTGCCAGGTTGCTTTTACAACAGTGCAACTTAAAATAGCAGCATTCAATGGGATACATGCAGCAGTATCTGCAGCAAACTACAGTGAAACCAAAATTATAGCATACATATGCAAGTAGGCCACCTACTTGCATCTCAGTATGTTTTATTTGTACATAAGTTGGCATTTGCATGTCAGCATGACAGACATTTCGTCATGTCCTGTCGTGTCCTTCCAAATGGCCATGTATAATGTTTCTGCTGCTCTACCAATAAGATCCTAACTATATTTATTTGGAAGAAAATTCTACTGATTTCGTTGGAATGCCCTTCCCAATAAAGTTGCTAACATTTGTAGCTTAAGTCTTCTTTGGGTTTCTATTGCCAAATTCTTGGCTATCTAGCAAATTCTACATAATCATTGTTATAAAATTAGGGAAGCATTCCTTGTTATCTCTTGCTCTAAATAGGGGGATGCAGTTTTTTGGGGGGGAGAAAGAAAAAAATGGCTTGATTCAGACATTAAAATTTGTGGCCAGTAAACTATATTCTGCTATATCAGTCAGGGAATAAACTGCTTAAATTCTTCTTTTCACCTTACACACCTGGCTATAATTTCTTATATCCTGGATAGTTACATGTCATACTTTTAACAAACAGTGGTTCTAAGCTGCAAAGTTTAAGCTACATTATCTTAGTTTGGAACCCAAGGGAACCTGAATGAATAAATCAACCTGAAAAATGGATATACAAAAAGGAATTGCAAAATGATGGAATATTTTATGTTGTCAGACTATTCATTTTGCACTCAAATTGTTTTGTCTGAATTGGGCCATTATTTTTCGGGAACCAGAGTGAAGGTTCAGTTATTGCTTTATGTTTGTGAAATGTTACTTCTGAATAAGCTTGAAGCATTGTTGGCTTATGTTGACCATCTGATTTACTTTTTTATCTCTTACGGGGAGTATGGTAGGATTGGTGGAATGAATGCAAGCATTCTTGTGCTCTATTCCTTTGTCTATCCATACCTCCTTTTCGCTATAGAAGTCTGAAAGTTTTACTTGCAATTTTGTAAAGAATGAGCATAAAATCTAAGTGGATGGTGTTTTATTTGGCCCACATCTGTTTGACAATTAATATATGCATTGTTTCTGCATAGGATTAGATTTCCTTAACGCTAATGGTAGTTTATTACCTAAGCAAACTGCAGAACTGTGTAAGACCGAGAACTAGAAGCAATTGCAATGAGTTCTGCAATTCAGATGTCACCAAATGAATCTAATGAACCTTGTTTGTACATGGTATGAATGTGTTATGTAACTGGTTTAATAAAATGGATGGAATAGTGATTTTATTGCTGAAATACCTGGGGATAAACTTAAATTGTTAAGAAACTTAAATCAGACAAATGTGCTCCAACTGTTTCCAATTATCCATAGTACTAAAAGTCACAAAACAATATTGAGGAATGGAACCCCACTCAGTTGTTTTTCATAATTCAGTTGTATCTTTTGATTGGACTATATGACATGCCAAGATTGATTCTGAAATAAATCTTGGTGTACTGGAAAGATGGGAGTTTCTTAGATTGTAAGGAAAGATCCCTGCAGTATTGTTATCCTGTTCCTGAAATGTGGTTTGCTGAAAAGGATGCCTTTGGAATTGTTCTTCAGTTTTGTAATAACCTAAACATTTGAGAATGACTTCACCATTGCCATTCATTGGTATATTCACAATGTCAGAAGGGCACTAAATTAGTATGTCTATACAATCCAATTGAAGAGTTTTGAGTTTGGCCACCTTTTACTGCTATACTTGAAACAAGTTACCTTAAGTGGGAGAAGAAATATTGTAGCTAAAGCTTTTAAGGGAAAGTGGTTAGTTTTAATAGATGATCTGTCCTTAATTTTTTGTTTTTTGAAGGTACTTAATTCTGGTTGATATTGTAATGAGAGAAATTAAAAATGGTCGTTTCCTTCTAAAACGTGTACTATCTTTATTACATCCCACATTTTGCAGCAGAAGGCATCTTAACTAGATGTTTCAGCAATATGCTTAAAAATTGGTTTAAAGGCTTTAATTCAATAAATTTTAAAATTCAGTGCTACATGGAATGTTAATAAATGGACGTAAAACAATGAGCCCTTTTCCTAGCGCTATTTAAAAGTTCGCCTTGCCTCCTGTATTCTGCTTTTTATCATTCAGGAGCCATTCGCTTTGCTCATCCTTAAGCGAGGAGCTTATGTTCGACTAGGAACAAAAGTTAGACGGAACAGCTGGTAGGGAGCGCGTTTCTGGAGGGGTGCGATATTTGTTGGACCTGGTGTCCTAAGCCAACGTGTCCCGTGTGGGGTGTTGACCGGCAAGTCGGCAGGATGTTGCTTTCTCGACGCAAGTCGACTATGTATCGCCGGGCGGGAGGCGGCGGCGGCGGCGGGTAAGTGTCATAAAATATGAGCGACAGGAATCATAGAAACCGGGCGAGAAGATATTTGGGAGATGCCGTGGTCGAAGCAAGCCTCAATGGTTCCTCTTCTCTCGGGGCTCAAACGATTCGCTTTAGTTTCTGAAGATTGGTAAAATGACCACGAACCAGAATCTACGACACGGATTGCACGCTGTTGGATATTTAAAACATAAAAACGCTTAATAGCTGGGGAACCAATGCTATGCGGAATGGATTGATTTTTGGTGTGTGTGTGTGTTGCATGTATAATAGCTTATTCGAGTGAAGGAATGAATGAGAAAGCTGCAACGGCGGCTGTGTGAGCCTGTGCCAGAGTGCCGTTGCATAGGGGGAAGACTGAGAGAAAAGGATAGAGTCTCTGCCCTATTCTTCACCCCACGTTCCAAAACCTTTTAAGCATGTTATTGAGCAAGAACTAAGAAACTGCCGGTTGTGCAAACTTTCCTTTGTTTCCTAAATAAATGGAAGCTCTGCTGCAAAGGGGAAGTCATAAGAGAAAGGGTTTATAAATTGTAGGATGAAACATTGGCTAGTCTCAGGCCTATAATCCTGGGCCTTATGTCTATCCCTATAAAAAGAGATAATTTCAGATGATTATGAGGGAATGAGGACTGATTTTGCAGTATGCATATTTATGCATATTTATCTAGCCTTAGGCAGAATGCAGTAAGGTTTACAGCTTGAGAAAGCATGTATTTGGTCTTACTTCCATGTAAATACAGTTACAGCTCATGAATGCAATCTGACCTGAACAATTTGTGATTCAAAAGTATAATTTGGATAACTGATGTACTGTTATGCCATACTGCAGGGGTGTCAAACTGCCGGCCCGTGGGCCAGTTTCAGCATACCAAAGCTACACCCACCCCATTGCTGGCAATGCAAAAAAAGTCACGTGGCATGGCGAGTTTGACAACTGTGCCATATAGTATGTGAAACTGATGTACTGTATTAAGTAAATCATGGTGACTAGATTCATAAAGTAACCTCCTGACAAGGCTGAGTAACTTTGAGTTTTAGGGCCTTTTAGATCTGGGACTTTACCATCTTTGGTACTGGATAGGGTAGTGCTGCCCCAGACAGAGCTGGGTTACAATCTTGGGGTCCTTCAGGATTCGCAATTCCTAGCCGAGAAACAGATGCCAGTCATGGCCAGGAGAGTCTTTGCACAACTGAGTTGTGCACCATTTCTGGACTGTGAGGCCCTATTCACAAATACTTTGCCCTAATCACTTCACACATAAACTATTGTAATACATTCTACATAGGGATGCCCTTGTATCCCAAAGCTTTAATTGGTGCAAAATGCAGCAGCACACATTACATCTCTGAAGACACACATTACATCTCTGCTTTATGAGCTGTATTGTTTGCCAGTTAGCTTCTTGGTCAATTCAAAGTACTGGTTTTGACTTTTAAAACTCTCTATGTGGCATGGGACCAGGTTATCTGAGGGACTGCCTCTTCCTGATTATATCTACTGATCCCATCAGGTTCCGGTAGGAGAGGCATGTTGTAGGTCCTGTCTGTGAATGAGTTCCATCTGACAGGACCTAGGAGGCAAATCTTTTCTGCCGTGGCATCCACCATCTGGAACATCATCCCTCCTAATGATTACCCCAACCGTTATTGCCTTCCAGAAAGCCCTTAATACATTTTTTTTCAACAACCTGTGAATCCCTGATGATAGGGAGCCCACCTGTTGACTGTATTGTGTGTGATATTCCCCTGCTTATGGTTTTACGGTAATATATGTTTATGTTTTACTGCAAAAGTGGCCTTGCAGGAAGTTGGCAAATAAATAAATAAATAAATAATTGGTCTTATAGTAGATTCTAATAACAGTTTTATTGTATGTCACCCAGAGTCACTTTGTGTAAGATGGGTAGCGATATAAATTTGACAAATAAACAAATTAGCATATTGTGTGAACTTAGTCATTATTTGGTTTTGACTTAATGCAAAATCTGTGAACCTAGCCATAGTAACTTATAAACTATGGCTTTTGGCTTCAATTTTATATAGTTTGTTCACTAAACCATTATTAAAGCAAAACATGGATCTATAAATGCTTAATGCTTATCTCCCCATATTTTTCCCAAATACTACTTCTGTATTTTGGATTTTGGATTCCATTCATAACTATGATTTCTACTCTTTCAGACCATGCTTACTCTGGAAAAACTTGTGGAAGCTTGTTTTGTCTCCCATTCTTTTTTTGCTAGAGTAGCCCATCACAGTGTTGTATTGCTTTTTCTGATTTTGCTTCAGGTTTTTCCGGCTCCTGGGCATTCTACCCTGGAAATGCTCTCTCTTTCAGCTCTTCTTTATTGTGCTGTTGCTGGGTTTTCTCTCCCTGTTGTGGCTGCAGTTCAGTTGCTCAGGGGATGAGTCTAGAAGTCAAACAGCTGAGGCAACGGTGCCTCAAAAACCATGTGTACTTGAGCCTCTACCTCGAATTCCTGATGATCCATCATGGGGACCACATCGCTTGGCAGTGTTGGTTCCCTTTCGAGAACGTTTTGAGGAGCTGCTGACTTTTGTACCCCATATGCATCGCTTCCTCAGCAGGAAGAAAATTCGTCATCATATCTTCATTCTCAACCAGGTGGATCATTACAGGTATTTTACAATATGGGTGATTCAGAATCCTATCCTCATGCTCCCCCCCCCCTCTTTTCTAGCCTTCCAAACTGATGCCTTTTGGATGTGTTGAACAACAACTCCCATAATCCACAGGCCAGGCCATGCTTACTGGGAATTACAGGAGTTATTGCCAAACACATCCAGAGAGCAACTGTCTCTGCAACTTACTTGTACTCTGGATTTCATACATTCCCTTTTCAAAATGGTTTGGGCCTGACACTGAAATGTAAAAATTAAAAATTGATCATTTGTTTTACTGGAAAGAAAACATTTGTGATTCTTAACCAAGAGAACTGGGTAAGTTGAGGATCAACCCTGAATTCATAATCTTTCTGTCTCCTAATAATTATTGGATGTTGTCAAATATTCCCAGTCCCAAAATAGCATTCAGTATTCCCAGTATAAAATAGCAGCTGACCTTTTATTTCAAACTATTTCTTCAGTTTTACCAAAGGTGCTTTTTTCATGAGGCAAATGGACTTTCTTGTTTTTCTTTGAAAACATTTCGCTTCTCATCCAAGAAGCTTCTTCAGCTTTGACTGGATGGTGGGGAATGGCAGGATTTATACTCCTTGCTGACAGCTAGTCATTTGCATTCAAGAATGCAAAAAAAAAAAAAAAAGAACGCAAATGACCAGCTGTCTGCAAGGAATATAAATCCTGCCATTCCCACCATCCAGTCAGAGATGAAGAGGCTTCTTAGATGAGAAGCAAAATGTCATCAAAGAAAAACAAAGTCCAGTTGCCTCGTGAAAAAAGCACCTTTGGGACAACCATGATCTGGACTGAGAATCCATAGATATATTTCTTCAGTTATATGTTCTTAAGAATGAGTCACTTGAGACAGTTTGCCATAGAAGTGGGTTGGTATTGGGGGGCTTTTTTTGCAACCATCATTTTTTATTACTCCAGTGGAAGCTTTCAGATCGGAGTCTAGTTTATGTCTGAAATTGGTTCTGGTACTCATGTTAAAAGTCTTACATTTTTTCTGAAACTATAACAGTATAAGGAATTAACTACACATCAATGTGCTTAGTTATATGTCAGAAAACAAAAAATATTCTCAGCCATTTTTTTTGCTTCTTCCAAGATACGCATGTCATTTTCCTTTTTTTAATAGATATTTTCTTGAAAATATTTCTAAACCATTTTGACTGACAGAAAATTATCAGAACCAATCAGAAGAAAATATGAACAGTATGATAAAGAAAAACTGATTTCAAAGTAGATGCCTAAAAATATAAAATTACATACTTTTAAACTCTGTTCAAAAGGGAGCCATTATAGCAGCTGACCACATATGGAACAATTGTATTCCAAGTACCACATCTGTCTTTTTCATTTCAGTTGATTTTTTTCCTATGTAAAATATTCTGTACATCTGTTAGTACATTGTGGGTTAAAGAATTGCTGATGATAATAAATAAAGCATGAACAATGCCCGGATGCTATATGCTATACTATATAGATTTGAACAATTCCAGCAAAGAAGTAATTCAACCTGCCTGGGTAGAATTTTGTGACTTAGATGCACTTTTCTCACATTGATCTCTTGGACAGGTTTAACCGAGCATCTCTGATCAATGTGGGTTTCCTGGAAAGTAGCAATGACACAGACTACATTGCCATGCATGATGTGGATTTGTTACCTCTCAATGAGGAATTGGATTACAGCTTCCCAGCAGCTGGTCCTTTCCACGTGGCTTCACCTGAGCTGCACCCACTCTATCATTATAGCACCTATGTAGGGGGCATCTTGCTACTCACCAAGCAACACTATCGAATGGTAAGTCACGACTTCTTTCTTAACGGAAGCAACTCCTTTACTTTTTGCAAAAGGCAGAAGACCCTGCTGGCTGTGCTCTTGCTAAATAAATACAGGCTTCAATTTTTTTTTCTGGCAACAGAGAAAGGCAACAAAGATGATTAGGGGACTGGAGGCTAAAGCATATAAGGAACAATTGCTGGAATTGGGTATGTCTAGTTTAACGAAGAGAAGGACGAGGGGGGACATGATAGCAGTGTTCCAATATCTCAGGGGCTGCCACAAAGAAGAGGGAGTCAAGCTATTCTCCAAATCACTTGAAGGCAGGACAAGAAGCAATGGATGGAAACTAACCAAGGAGAGAAGCAACCCAGAACTAAGGAGAAATTTCCTGACAGTGAGAACAATTAACCAGTGGAACAACCTGCCTCCAGAAGCGGTGAATGCTCCAACACTGGAAGTTTTTAAGAAGAGACTGGACAGCCATTTGTCTGAAATGGTATAGGGTTTCCTGCCTGAGCAGGGGGTTGGACTAGATGACCTCCAAGGTCCCTTCCAGCTTTATTATTATTATTATTATTATTATTATTATTATTATTATTATTATTATTATTATTATTATTATTATTATTATTATTATTATTATTATTATTATTAACTTGTTAGGCATATCTAGAAAAAAAGGCCCATAATCCTAGAAATGTAAGATTGAGAGAATAGTTCTGCGTTTTCTAATCTTTCAAATCTCAAATCTTATTAAGAGGAAAACAAACTGTGGGATTAACAACCTTATTATTATTTCAGTGCAATGGAATGTCCAACCGTTTCTGGGGCTGGGGCAGGGAAGATGATGAATTTTATCGCCGCTTCAGAGCAGCTGGACTTCAAGTGAGGATGAATCTTATTTGTAGTGGGAATTGGGACTTTGGGGTTCAAGTGCTCAGTGTGATCTGGGACTGCTGTAAACTTCTTACCCCAATTCCCAAAGAATCACGTTGGCTCCACTATTCTTCATTTCAGCTCTTCCGACCCTCAGGTATTACAAGTGGATATAAGACATTCCAGCATCTGCATGATCCAGCTTGGCGCAAAAGGGATCAGAAGCGTATTGCTTCCCAGAAACAGGTGGAGTTTCTCATTGGGGAGGAGGATGAAAAGCGAATCTTGAAAAGCGTTGTCTTTAGATGTAAGCTAAGAAATTCTTGCTTCCTCTTGATCAGTTACCTGTCATCTACAAAGAGTAGGCAAATTTGCATCTTCAAATGTGATTCAACATTTAACTTCCAATTGCTGTGGCAAACATGACTAGTAGTAAGGTGAAAAGTTGCAGAGGGCCACACATTGCCCAGTCACCAGCCAATACTATAGGTTTCCTGCCTATTACTATAGCAGGGGTGTCAAACTCAATTTCATTGAGGGCCGCATCAGCACTGTGGTTGCCCTCAGGGCTGGGTGGTTGTGGCCATGGTGGGTGCGGCCTACTGGGTCGGCGTGGATTGGGTGGGTGTGGCCTGCTGGGTGGGTGTGGCCAACTCTACATCGTTCACGTCGTGGGGGCCTGGGCAGGAGTGGGACAGATCTGAGGGTCTCTGGCAGAAGGGGGTGGGACCAGGGCAAGTGCCAAGGCATGGTCCACTGGAGGAGCCTCACTGTTCCTCTCAGGCCATGCGGGGGGGGGGCTTATGGAGCTAAGACTGAATGCGTTTCAGCATAGATGGCCACCACAAAATTGTACATTGGCTCCCAGTTGGCCTGGGCCAGGGCCAAGGCAGAGGGGGCCATTCCCTCACTGTTTCCAGGATGGCTTCATGGGCCACATGAAACCACTTCGCGGGCTGCATCCGGCCCCCGGGCCTTGTGTTTGACATGTCTGTACTATAGTATTGGGGGGGTAGGAGAAGGAGGCTATTCTAGAAACATAATTGAGTCAGGATGTCATGAAATAAAGATTCTGATGTCTTTCTTTCAATACTCTGGAAATAATAGCTCTTCACTCTTAACACATAAAATGGAATGTATACACAAATTCTATTTATAATGGAATTGTAAGTGTCATTTACAATGAACATCACTTCCCATTATGAACTTTCATCTGAAATCTGTTTCTCTCCAATATTCTCTCTTAATAAGATAATTCCATCTTTAAAATATTTGAATTCATGCTTTATAGTCAAAACAAACCATGCATATGATGTAAATCTAGCAATATTTCTTTTTCTAAGTGAATAGTTAATGGAAAATTCAAAGTGCTTTTAGCTAAGGACTAAGACAAATGTTCTCAAACGGTGTCGTTACAGAAAAATATTTATGAGGAACGTTCATTAAATGTTTTTATATATTTAGTAGCCTTTGCAAGCCATTGCTGCTGCTTCGCCTACATTTTTACATATTAAAGTTGGTCTTCTTTCTAACAGAAAGAATATGTATCTATATATGTGTGGATAAAGACCATCCCTCCACATATTTATGTCTGTATGTATTGAATACTTAAATGTTAAATGTTGGGGTAAGAGGCAGGTGCTGCTATGTATTTTAAGACTAAATCGCTAGACAAAATGTCCAAAAGTGTATGTCATAATTAAAAAGAAAATACTCAGAATTAGTGCAAACAGATTTCCCATGAAGGTAAGGAACACCTCCTCATTCCCCTTTCCTATCTCTATTTTGGTAAAGAAATATACATACTATTTTTAACCACACAATCTGGAAATTTGCAAGTTTGTGATTTGACTGAAAAACAATGAACAGATAGTTCATAAAGCAGCAATGATGACTTTTGCTAAAATGAACTCTAACATGGGATTCTAGTATTTAAGAATCGGACCTTCCTAAATGGATGCAATTTTCACCTGTCTGGTTCTTAAAAGAAATGCATGCAAGATTGTTAAACTTAATAAGCGTACAATGTTTATAACACAAGCTGATTTATAGAGGGGTTGCACGATTTGTAGCCTTGGAGCTTCTAATGCCATGTAATTTTGTATTTTTACTGTCAAGTTTCAAAGTTCTTGTTATGAATATTTCAAATGTTGGTCAAAATGTACATGATTGAATGATACCTTATTGGTATTTTTTTTCATGTATTGTTGGCTTTTTTGTATAACACATGCCATTTTTCTTTTCACAGGAGCAGTTCAAGGTAGACCGGACTGGAGGACTGACTAACCTAAAATACAGAGTAGAATCACGCACTTCATTGAGTGTGGCAGGATCTCCCTGCACAGTTCTTAATATCTTGCTAGAATGTGACTCCACTGAGACTCCCTGGTGTGCATCTGGTTGATGTGCCTTCTGTACAGATTGGCTGTCTTGTTTGCTACTCTACCAGCTCATGGCCAGAATTTGCAGCTCAGCTCTTGGATGGCAAATCCTTCTGTAGGAACCGACAACCAGTCTTAACTGCCAGGATAACATGGTTAAAAAGAGAACTGAGGATCTACACTAGTTGATGACGCAAATGCAGGGCATTACCTCTTCTACATGGATACTGCGAGGTGGCAACAAATACAGTGGTGATGGAAACATTAAATAAGCCAAGTGCCTTTCTATCAGCTAGAAGGATATTGTCTTAGGTATCTTCATCTCGACAAGCTGAAGAAACTGTGAACTCAGAGACACTATAGGGATTAAATTATTGTTTCTCTGCTAGCCAGGACTTGAAGGTTTCTTTACCCAGACTAAAACTCAAAGGAGTGTTAGACGTTTGCTTCTCTTGTGATAATTATATGCATAAATATCTGCTCCAAAATATCCTTATACCGCATTCTTCCTCTGATGCCTCTTGAAAGTGCATACCTTGCTTTCTGACTCCACGAACTCATGGCTGATCATCTTGGCTAATCCCATTTTCAGATCTTTTGAACTGTAAAGGCTGTTGACTTACTGAAATACAGCTATTAAAACAAATGGATTGAAAGAATACTATAACTGAAATGTGCGTGAACAGGGTTTTTTTATACTACTTCTAATAATATCAAATTTTCTATTTTTTTTTAGTAACGGAATTCCGACTTAAACCCACCTTTTTTTTTACGATGTTTTAATTTTTTTCCCCAACGCTCCTTAACGTGAAAGAACTAGGCACCAGAACATACATGTATATTATCTGAATATGATTCATTTGTATATTTCTGGATACAGTAGTATTTTTTTTCCATTGAGAAATGTAGAGACAAAGTTAACATATGATCAAGACCCCACTCCAAGACACCTGCGACAGAACTGGTAACTCCTATGCAGCTGCATTCGGCATCTATGGAAACGGCTGGTAATAGAGCTGGCTGGTGCAATATTAGTGATCTGTTGAAGACTCACTGTAGAGAAATGGAGGGTATGAGCCCTTGGGGGAATATCACTGTGCCCTACAGTATGAAGGGGTGGAAGAGATGCTTGCCAGGGTTCCATAGAGATGCCTGCTGCCTCTGGACTTCTATCCTCTTTCAGGGGTTTTGATTTTTTCTTGGGCTGTTGACTAAAGATGCTGTTGAACTGTTCCAAGGTACTTGGATGCTCGGACTGTGTTGTGTTTGTAACTTCAGAGGGAAGTTCTTTGTAGTTACAGGAAACGAGCTTCTGCAGTTGGGGTTTGGATATAGATTTCTTTCCAACACAGGTTGCTGTAGAGAGGATAAGGTAGAACCAAAAGGATTACAGAATTGCAATATCTTAAGTCCACCCCTTCCCCAAGAGTGTTCATCTTTGAAAAAAAATAGCTTATGACTGAGGAATATTTCATAGATGCTATATCATGAGTTAAGAATCATTTCAGGCAGTAGGAACCACTTTGGGGTTCTCCATAATAGTGAGAATATGTGTGTATATAAAATGTTAACAAAATGTCTAAAACCTCATGAGATCTCATGAAAGTATGTGCAAGTGTTATGAGATTTGGCTTATTTTTTTAAAAAAAATATATAAACAGAAGTCAAATAATTTTAATGGTCTAGCACAGTGATGGCGAACCTTTTAGAGACCGAGTGCCCAAACTGCAACCCAAAACCCACTTATGTATCGTTGGGTGCCGAGTGGGTGTGGCCCACTGGGTGGGTGTGGCCCACTGGGTGGGCGTGGCTGCGATGGTAACAGCAGGCTGGGTGGGACTAAAAAGTTCAATCAATCAATTCCAACTTTTTTTTCCTGCGAGAAGTTGAAATTGATTGATTGAACCTTTTTTTTTTTTTGCACACGGTGGCGGAGGCCTAAAACGAAAAGGTTTTATAAAATCCAGCTAAAGGCCTAGGACTGGGGCAACGGCGCGCGTGCCCACAAAGAGGGCTCTGCGTGCCACCTCTGGCACCCGTGCCATAGGTTCGCCACCACGGGTCTAGCAGATTTGTTGGCATCCACAAGCACTGTGTTGCCATGTTACATTGCAGATATGTAGTGATAAAAGACTCCCAGAGCCACTTTTTTACATTTTCTACTCATTACAGAAACTGGAATCTTTAATTTAAGAACAATGTGTTTGCCCATAACAAGAAACTATTAGATGCTAAGAAATGGGATTCAGTACGTCCCTGTCATTGCTTGTCCTATAAGCTTTTGTATACATCTCTTGTCTCAAATTCTTATTTTTTGCCCATGCCATTTTATTCATTATTAGGATTTTCCAGATTTGATGGAAAATATAGAGTGCAGTCAATCTGTATCATGCATTCAAAGGGCCAAAACAGCAGCAGTGAGAAGAATCCATCACTTAATTTGCTATTGATGTATACTGAATTCCTGATTGGTCCAGATTTGTTCTTTTTGAGGAAAAAAACTTTATGTATATGTTTTACATTATTCTTTCTTTGGTTTAATTTTTGAAATTTGAAATTATTGTTAAAATAGTATAATAAAATGCAAAAAAATCCATATTAAATAGCAAATACAGACAATAGAATAAAACAAAGAGAAACAAGCACAAATAAAAAATTATTCTTATTAAAAAAAATTCTAATAACACATTCTCCTTTTCCCTTCCCACTACCGGTATTTCTCCAAACCTGATTGTAACCTATTTATAATTTACAGTGAAGATTATTACCAGTACACATTTTGTCTCCTAATATATATTTTTAGAAATCATATTCTAAATTTTTCCTGTTAATATATCATATATATGGGACACATTCTTGTTTAAATTTGGTTAGAATTCTATTATAGGTGCACATTCTTCAATTAGGGCCTCCCAATCTGATTTTAATGGCAAAGGTTCTCTTTTCTGGTCTTGTGCCAAATTTGTTCTGGCAGCTCCAATTGTGATATTTTTCATTTAGGTGCTCTGAGATTGTACCCCCCAAAATATTTGTGGTTTCAGTTCAAACATTATTCTTGGGATTTTCTGAATATTTTGATTTATTTATTTCCAGTAATTTTGATGGGTTTTTTTTTAACATAATCACTACATATTTCCTTCTTTGTTACGATATCTCCAGCATTTATTGTTATATGATTTCCCTGCCTTGGTCATTATTATCAGTAAAACTTATTTCTACTAATTTTTCCTTAAATTATAATATGGAATAAATTTGCTTTTTTCCCCATAAATCTTCCCATTGTTATGTGATTATTTCTTTGAATTTTTCATTTACTGTATCATTCCATTTTTTATTTCTTCTATTTCCATGGCCTAATTCAATCATAATTTATATAGGTATCCTAATAAATGATACTGGTTTTGTATAAAGTGTTTCAAATTCTGCTTTCTTTCCCAAACTATTCCCTTCTTTCTTGACATCACTTTTTATTCTTCCATATTTTTACCAAATTTTGTCTATAATACATTTTTTCGAATTATTTTATTCTTTTCTTTCCTTATACCATAGGTATCTATGTTCATTGGCAAAGACAGCTCCTATGATTAATATTGTGCTATTTGGCAATTTTATCCATTGTCATGCACGATAGACTGCTTAGATAAAAATATACTTTAATGTTAGAAACTGAGAGGTTGCCTATTTTTTCTGAATGTTGCAAAATCTTAAGTCTCGGGGGTGGGGGGGTTCCTGCTCCATATAAATCTCATGCAATTCTTTGACAATCCTGTAAGGTTTTGTCTGAGATTGGAATTGGTACCATTTAAAATAAATTCATCTTGTCTAGTATGTTCATTTTTTTGCCACAATATGTCTTAGCCCAGAATGCTTTAGATTTTTCCACCTTTCTTTTTTTTTAAACTTTTTCCATAATTTATCATAATTGTTCAGAGATAGGTCTTTATTGCATATTGTTAAACAAAGTCCCAAACATTTGACTGTTGTTGTGTTTTTTTTTTAAAAAAAGATCCCGCTACCAGATTTTTTTAAAAAAAGTTTTCTTCTGGAATTAAAATATTTTTTATTTGGTATCTTTTATTTTGGTGCCTGGAGAATTCACCAAAGACTTTGATTATTTGCATCAGCGTTCTTATAGCAGTCTGATTGCATAATGGTTAGTATTAGATTATCTATATGACATTTCAAGTTGTAATTCTTCTCCCTGAAACTTGATTCCAAATATTTGTTCCTGGATCTTGTCTGCCAAAGCTACTAAAACATTTACAAATGATAAGGAAGAAAATGGATATTTTTCTCTAGTACCTTTGTTTACCGAAAAACATGTAGAGAAGATACCACACGCTATGTTCTATGCTATTTGCCTCTGATATATGCTCTCCATCCAAATTTTAAATTCTTGTCCTGGATTAATTTTGCTTAAAACTGTTAATAAGAAAGATTACTCCTAGTGGTCAAGGGCTTTTTCTGCATCTAAAAACATTACTACTACCTTCTTTTTCTTATTGTTGAGCTGTTCTAATGCATTTACAGGTATTCCACAATTAGGATCACAACTAAGCCCAAAATTTATGTTGCTGAACGAAACATTTATTAAGTGAACTTTGTTTCATCTTAGGACCTTTCTTGCCACAGTTGTTAAGTGAATCATTACAGCTGTTAAATGAGTAACACGGTTGTTAAGTGAATCTGACTTCTTCATTGACTGTGCTTGTCAGAAGGTCGCAAAAGGTGATCACATGACCCCCGGGACGCTGCAACCGTCATAAACATGAGTCAGTTGCCAAGCGTCTGAATTTTGATCATATATGATCATGGGGATGTTGCAATGGTTGTAAGTGTAAAAAACTATCATAAAATACTTTTCAGTGATATCGTAACTTTGAAAGGTTACTAAATGAAGTATTGTAAGTCAAGGACTACCTGTATTATAAATCTCTTAGTATATTGTCCTTCATTTTTCTCTTCGGAATATAGACTGATCTGTAGGCTTTAATTCATAAATGCAGTACCTCAAACACTCAGCTAGTATTGTAGTAATCCTGCAAG